AAAGTTGATATATTCCATAACGAACATGTTCAAGAGGCATAAACAATCAATGGTGGAAAAACAAGTGTTTAACTTAACATTTGATTCAGTGCAAATTATAAAAACAAGATAGGCAGAAAATAGCAAATAGGCTGGCAGGGGCTCAGCATCAAGTTCCAGGTGAAATAACGAAGTTTAATAAAAAGACTAGTGTTAATAAAATTTAAATGTCATTCCTTATTGAATAATTTTACTTCTAGAAATGTACCTTAAATAGGTAAAGTATATATAAATATATAGATACCAACATACTCCCTTTAGTGTAACTTCAAGTTTGGAAACTTCAATATTCACTGAAGTATAATTCAGTTACAATACAACCATTGAACATCTCACAAATATTTAATGAAATAAAATTCATAAGTGTTTTTAAACAAACTACATACCATAATCCTCATTTTATTTATTTTTTATTGATTGATTTGGGAGAGGAAGGGGGAAGAGAAACACTAATTTGTCCCATTTATTTATACATCCATTTTTGATTCTTGTATATGCTCTGGCTAAGGATTGAACCCACAACCTTTGGTGTATTGGAAGGATGCTCTAACCCAGCGTTCGCCCATCAGTGGTCAGTGGACCACTGGTGGTCTGTGAGGTCCAAGAGGTTAGCGAGCGCTGCTCTAACCAACTGAACTACCTCTGGGCAGGGCTGATCCTCATCTTTAAGAATTTTTTTTTTCTCTTAAAAGGAAATATCTAACAATGGTTATTTCTAGGTATACTGACCATGGTACTTTGTATTTTCCTTAGACCAGCTATTGATAAGTTAACTATGCTGTTGTTGTTGATAAAAACCATGTATTTTTAAATGCTATGAGTATAACGTTTCAACTGTAAATTCTCTGCGCTGATGTCACTCACTGTGGGCCTAAGACCACTGGCAGTAGTATAACCCAGAAACTTGTAAGAAACACAGGTTGTAGGACCTCACTCCAGACCCACTAAAATAGAATTTGCATTTTAACAAAGTGATTTATAGGTATATCAAATCTAAAATTTTTTTACATCATATTTTTTCCTAGCCAAAAATGTTTCAATCATAATATCCACAAAGCTGTTTCATTATACTGCCAGGATTAATAAGCATTATCTTACTTTGAAACCGGGGTTATTATCCCAGCCATATTTAAACACTTATCTGTAGACTCCTGTGAAATGTAGATTATTAACTACCAGTTAAGAGCCAGGCTACTTAACAGTACTTTATATCAAATGAAAATAAGCCATTTTTTAAGTGAATAGGAACATAAATTTAAAAAGGATCTTTAACAAACAATAAAAATATGTAATTGCAAAAACTGCCATGAAGAATTAATATTGCCATAAGCAAGGAACTACAGCTTAATAGGAGTTAGACCAGGGGTGGGCAAACTTTTTGACTCGAGGGCCACAATGGGTTCTTAAACTGGACTGGAGGGCCGGAACAAAAACATGGATGGAGTGTTTGTGTGAACTACTATAAATTCAAAGTAAACATCATTACATAAAAGGGTACAGTCTTTTTTTTCAATAGTTTTATTCATTTCAAACGGGCCGAATCCGGCCCATGGGCCATAGTTTGCCCATGGCTGGCTTAGACCCACTCCCCTAAGCTGGCAGTGTCTGCCCCTGGTGGTCAA